TTTGAGAAAAAAAAGTCAATTTCCATATTATCATCATATTAGCATCTTAGCTCTTTTATCGCCGATGTTGTCGGATTTAATTTTTGAATTTGGTAGTTTGTAAAGTGTTTTGTACACCATAAGACAAGTTAGTATTTTTTTCAATCGGTACCTGTTTAAAGTTGCAAGATCTGTCTAACTAACTAAATTCAAGAAAACTTAAACTCAAAATCTAATCTTTGAAAAGTAATATCTCGTGAAAAAAGGCTCAAACAATTTTTTGTAATAGAAACTTTTAACTCTGTTGGATGTCCTTTATCAGCACCACTCTGTATTTATGTGTTGAAAACAGGTTTTTGTCTCATCATTTTCTTAGTTTTAATTTAGTTTATGAAAAAATAGGAGTAAGAATACTACAGAAAATAAATAAAAGTATTCCAATATTTCTATAATTTCTCCCGGCACTAGATTCAATTTCTCTTAATATTTGAGGAACCTTAAAATTGTTAAAAACAAACAGGAAAACAAAAAATGTAAAAGCAACCAAATTACATACTCGAATTCCACTTTTCCGTTTTTGTGTAAGATTTTAGTAAAATTTAATAAAAAAATGTAAAATAGTGTATCAAATTTAGTTTCAATAATCTATTTTACGAATTTGTTATTTCTAATATTATTTCATTCTTAGTTACCCAAAAATTCTTCCTTCACATTTCTTTTATTTATTTTTTATATTAAATTATGACTTTATATGTGTTTTACTAAAAAATGGGTTACAATAATATAAACCTCCAGTTTGATTTTTCAAAATAACTTTGTTTATTTACTATAATGCTTTATTTTGCTATGTAGATTACATTTTATCTCCACACAATGGATGTTATATAATCAGCAATCTCCTTAAGTAAGAAGAGTACCACATGCTGAATCATTTGTAACAGTCTATTTAAATTAGGTCCAATATTTGTAACCAGTCAAGCAAACAATAACAATACTGGTTACAATGCACCTTATATCACTATTCTTTAAGAATAACAAATCACTTGACTTAGATTTGTTCCCATCTTTCTAATGTTCATATTATTACATCAACAAATCTTTGTAGCGAATGGATCACCTAATTTTATTAAATGAATAAAAACCAGTTGACATTTATCAAGCAGTATAACTTTTGAGTGAACTTGTAATTAAAAAGTAGCACTATTACATAAAACTTCTAAAATTAGAATTATATAAATAATTAAATTTAATAAAAGTTTAAAATGAATTACAATAATCAGAAACGAAGCTACAGAAAGTTCAGCAAATAAAAATTTAAGTATCAACTGAAAGAAATCAAACATCTAAATCTAAATAATTTAATCAAATAATGTTTAAATTGATATTTGATGTCTTAAATTTTGTTTAATAATTCAGAGATGAATATTTAATGTTTCTTAGTGGCTTATAAAAAGGTCAATACCGTAAAGTTCTTCAGTATACAACTGATATTTTGTTTATTTTTACTAAAATGTTGTTTGCAGAGCAATCGCAGCTAAATCTAAAAGAAAACGAGTATCTATGGACTATACGAAAATTTCTTGAATTGTTTGTAAAAAACAAAATTGTGACTTTTGTGTTAAGAAAAAATTTAGTTCATTCAGTGTTTCTAATAATAATTCAATCACATCTTTTCTGGAAACACAGCAATACTTCTTATTTTATTAAATGTTTAGCTTCTTACTCAGGATCATTTTGCGTAAATATTAAATAAGTGAAATTTTGATTTTAACCACATTTTCAGTATTTGGTCCTGTTATATATCTCTCCAGCTTTAGGAAAATGTGTACTTGAAACAATGGATAAAACTGTATTATGGCAACTACATTGTGCTAGTCCAACACTTGAAAAACAAATAAAAAAAGAAGCGTTATTTAGTAGTGTTTGGTTAGTTATAAACTTTGTGGTAGCTGTAATTACAACAGTTTTGCTTATAATCCCCCTTGAAAACGATAACGATTTTTTTTATTTTTTGGCAATCTACGAACAATTTAACCCCAGATGGACAAATTTTATGGTTTGGATGTACAGAATTGACTGTCTTTTTGTGATCTTAGTAACTATTGTTCCTTCTTACGCCCGTATTTATCTACTTGCACATAGTCGTTTCCAATATTTACTTTTACAAAATTATTTGAATACTTTAAATGTTGATTGGGAAAACTTAGACTCGTTTCAGTTAATTCGTGATAAAAAATATCAAACCAAAGTAAGCGATCGATTCAAATTTTTTAGCAAGCGTCATGCTTATTATAACTCGTAAGTAATTTCTTAACAGTGATTTTTATTTTAATAAAATTAGAGTGTGTTTGAGCTTGAGAAGACAATTGGGGGACTTCATAGTTATACTCACGTCATTGTGTGCACTCATATTTGTGAATATCATAGTATTTTACTTTGAGGTAATCGTCATCTATTAGCATGTTCAATATTTTAATGATTTATTGTTATTAAGTATGAAGGATCTCTTAAGAGTCAGTATTTAAGGATCATTACAATAGGTGTATTAGTTGGATCTACGAGTATCCATAATTTGGTGGCTGGTCAGTTATTTGAAGATGCTGTAAGTTATTTATTTTTTACAACTCCTATAATTAGTTTAAAGACTTCCGATATTTTGGAAATTTTAAAATCGCTCAACTGGGAGTGCTGGGATCAGAAGAACAGAAAAATGTTTCTTATAATATTGCAAAATTCACAAGAAGGAATAAAAGTCAAATTTTCTGAAAATTTATCAGTCAATTTTACACTGGGCGTTTCTGTAAGTGTTTTACAAGTAAAGCTTGTAATACTCATTTTTTTATAGTTGGCTCGAGGCATTTATTCAGTACTTTCTGTTATGAAACAGTTAAGAAAAACTTAGTGATTACTAAAATCCACCAAAGGGAATTTATTTTCATCAATAAAAAAATTGCAGTATGACGATTGTTTTAATAATTTTATTAAGATTCCATTTTACTTAAATTTTTTGAGTGTTTTATTAAACGAAAATTGCTAATTCATTCGAAATGATTTTAATAAAAGGATTGGTAGTTGCGGTTCATGATTTATGTCAACGTTAATCAAAAATAAAATAAAAAAAATCTGTCTAAGTATAAAACCTATGCAAATTTTCTGAAACCTAATAGAAAACAAAATTTTTACGTTTACATTCGCACTAAATTATTGTATTCAACGGAATTTTTTTTATTCTAAAAAATACAACCTACCAAAGACTACGTGAACTATAATTAAATACATTAATTTTTAAATAAGAAACGATAAAAAATTTAATCAAAAAATGATCAATTGATAATCCACCATTACTGTGCTAAATGTTTGCCAGTAATACAGGGTGATTAAAAAATGTCGGACAACTCTCAAATGGTGATAGAAGATTTTCAGCTAAGCATTTAAATGAATTTAAATTTTTGCTTCAAGCTTTTTTTGTCAATGTTCATATTATCATGTAAGCATCTTAGTTTTTTTGTTTCCGATGTTATTAGATTTACAGTGTTTTTCTTTTAGTATTCTTCTTTTGTCAAATGAATTTCACTACTACTCAAAACTATTTCATTTGATATACAGGTGCGCCAGAACTCGCGCTTCAGAGAAAATTTTCAAGTAATTTTTTGTTGAATTTGCTAGTTTGTTAAATGTTTTTTTTACACCATAAGACACAAATTGGTGTTTTTTTCTACAGGTAACTAAATTCAAGATTACATAATCGAAACGGCCAAAAACTTAATCCAAAATCCAATCTTTGAAGAGCTATATCTCGTGAAAAAAAGGTTCACACAAATTTTGTCACTTTTAACGCAGTTGGATGTTTTTTATCACCACCCAAGAGATGGTCCCACATTTTTTAATCATTCTGTATATTGCTTGATTTTCTGTGGATTTTGATAATATTTCAAAATATTCGAAATATTTTTTTTCAAAGATTCTGTGTATTGTGTTTTCTGCTGAAGAATGGACCCATTGCATCAAGGAAAAATCGAGGGTACCGCATGCGCGGCGGGAGAAATAACTCCACCCATTATTTTTAAATTTGCTTTAGAATAAAATGCCAATCGCTACCAACCAAAGCCGCCAAAGTCACTGTGTAGATAACCTAAAACGAAACGTCAAAAGCGTGTTCAACACGGTTCTAATAATGCTTATACAAAACGAAATACAAAAAATCTATAACCACGCGAGCACGCTAACATAAGCCGGTCAAGTGCCCTTGTAGACATTCAGACAACCAACCTAATCACCATAGATTACACTAACTTGCGTTTCACTGTTTACTTCTTCCATTTCTTTTTCGCGGTTACAAAAGGGGCGGAGGTGACGCATGCGGTCTCCTCAAAAAATTAGATGCAATGGGTCCATTGAATTAAAACATTTTGTTTTTCAATTGATTATTGTTTTTGAGAGAGTAAAAATTTAAAAAGTTAATATTTTAACTGTCACATGCTAAAAACTTAAACTGTAAGGTGTTATGATAAAGACCCACGCACTTTATCAGGGACAATTTTTTTTGAAGTTGATACTAGAAGGAATAATAAATATAAATTACAAATAAATCTTTAATTTATGATTCTACTTAATGTGCTTTGGGATAATTTCTTAATCAATATTTTTCTTTATTTTTATATTCATGTTATTTTAGACGATTATAAATTAGAAAGGTCGCTTATAATAGCCCATGAAAAAAGTTGTAGAAACGTTAACAAAAACAAAATTTTGGCATTTATATACGCAATTTTTTTTGATAAACTCCAAATAGTAATAAATTTTCTGGTGGATCAGAGGTTAAATTGATTTTCAATTAGTGATCAATAAGTAATACAATTGCGGACACGCAATTTTGGACTATACGTTCGGTTTTGTAATTTATAGCTATATTTATAGCTAGAGAAAAAAATGAAAATCATAAATAGTTAACTTTACTAAAAACACATTAAACCTAATAGTAACATTAGGTACTTTATCAACTTACTTTTTTACAAATAAGTATGTTGTTTGAAGAAAAGCCTTTACTAGACCTAAAGACAGATGACTGTCTGTGGTCTTTGGGTAAAATTTTCCGAATTCTTGTACATAACAGGATTATTGTATTTATGCAGAGAAAAATTCTGTTTGTTTTGACAATTCTAGTAATAATCCAAACCTACCTTTTCTTAAAAGAAAGCAGTGCTGTTTATTTTATAAAATATATGGTTGTCTATTTATCATCGTTTTTTGTAAGTATGTAGAAACAAATATTTTTTTTTATTTTGTTTGTCGCAGTTTTTGGCATCTCTCTACTCCACATCAACCATCGGCAAGCGCATTTTTGATGATATACAAACAGCAAAATTATGGAAGTTACGATGTGAAAGCTCAGAAATTCAACGACAAATTGAAAAAGAAGCATTTTATACTAATGCTTGTTTCATCCTGTGTCTCACTTTTAGTCAAATTTGTGCAATTCTTTTTATAATTCCATTTGAAAAGGATGAAGAATTTTTTTATTTTTTGGCACTGTACCAGCATTTAACTCCCAGATGGAGAAGTTTTTGGGGTTGGAATTTCAGAATCGGAAGCTTGTTTATTGGAATAATCTGTCTTGCACCTTGTTACGCCCTTATATATCTTATGACACACAGTCGATTCCAGTATTTGCTCTTATTGCATCACTTTAAAAATTTGAATTGGGGTTACGAAAATTCACATTTGTACCAATTGATTCGCAATTTAGATTATCAGGGCGAAATTCAAAGACGACTCAAATTTTGCATCAAACGTCACGTTTGTATTAACAAGTGAGTAGACACACACATTTTAAAAATAATTCTAATTCTGAAAAAACAAAACAGAATTGTTTTCAGTGTGAAAAGGCAAATACATGGATTCATATGTGTTTTTACCTTGGCAGGTGTAGTTCTATTTATCAGTATCATAGTGTTTTTTTATTCGGTAAGGTATTAATTGAGTAGTGTAATTAATTTAATTGTTTTCAAGTATGAGGGAGCACTCAAAACACAATATGTGCGTATAATTTGTTTAGGAATTCCAGGAGGATTGACTTGGATTCACATTGTGACTGCTGGTCAATTGCTTGAGAACGTTGTAAGTTAATTTAACTGTTTTTTGTAATAAATGTTGTAATTATTTTCAGACATCTGAAATTTTGAGTGTTTTAAAAACCGTCAATTGGGAGTCATGGAACAAAGAAAACAGAAACACGTTTATTGTAATATTACAAAATGCACAAAAAGATTTAAAAATGAAATTCTCTGAAGATATGTCAGTGAATTTTGCTTTGGGAGTTTCTGTAGGTATTTTTTTTTTAATTTGTTGTGTATATTTTTATTTCAGATGACAAGAGCTCTGTTTTCAGCAATGTCAATCATTAGACAGTTGAGAAATATGGATTAAAGAAATCAAAAATTTAACTACCTACAGGCTGTTCCGTTTTAATTGTTACAAATTTAAGCAGGTGATAGAATATCCAATTTTAAGATAAAAGTTTCATATGAACATTTATTGAAAAATTTTAAATAAGGGTGCTACATGCCCTGAAAGGGGTACATCTTTTAATTTTAACCATTGTAGATAAAATTACAAAATTTGGTACAACTGATAATTTTTATACACCCAAACAAATTCAAAGATAAAATGTCGAAATTTTTACTCAGGGGCGTCCTAAACTGGGGGGTCTAGGGTAAAAGGTACCCTAACTATTTTGACTGTTGCTTCTTGCCACTTTCAGCCACACAATTCTAAATTTCATAGTTTTTTCGATACAACTTACCGCTTTTGAATAAAATCAGTTTACAATATGTGTTACAGACCATAAAAAGGATAAAAATTAAAAATTAAATTTGTCTTACCGTTTAAGGACGTCCGTGATTAAAAATTTTGACAACTGATCTTTGAATTCGTTCAGTATCAGCTGTACCAACTTTTGTAATTTTATCTATTCTGCAATAGTGAAAAAACCTCATTAAAAAACGCATCTCTTTAAAAAACGCATCTCTTTAAAAAACGCATCTCTTTCAGGGGATGTAGGTCACTTACATAACATTTTTTGATACATGTTCATAGGAAACTTTTGTCTCAAAATTGAATATTCTATCACCTGTTTAAATTTGTGACAATAAAAACGGAACACCTGTATATCCATAAATAACTAATTACACGTAATTGCGTGTTTTTTGATTATAAAAGTGCACACATCATGGTAAATTAGTACTTTTCAATGATCTTGAAATTTGACATTTTGAAGAAATCCAGGAAGTTAGTTTTGCATTATCTTCAGACATTATTATTGTAAGACATCGTCCTTGCTTTCGAAAAATGATTGGGAGGTGTAGATGCTGTCAATTATTTCCGTTTCGTAATTATTTAAGTTTTGTTGGTTCAGGATGTGGCCACGCCTAAAAAAAGACTTAAGATACTACGAGTAAAATAGTTCCTAGTGTTGTCTTTTATGGTGTCATGTTGCATAAAATTAGCATTCTTGTGTGCTTGAGACCACCAACATCGTTGAAATAATGTCATTTGATAAGATATGGACAAGTTGTATCTGACTCATTCATTGAAATTTTGATACAACCTCAATTTTAATCAAATTTAAGTAAAAATAGAAAAGACAAAAAAGAAAGAACATAAGAACATTATTCTAAGTTGAGCATCCTGTTCGGATAAGTTTTGAATTAGCTAATTAATGAAGTATAGAAACATTTTCCTAAATATTTGCTACAAAATGTTTAAAGAAATCCATATTGCTTGAAAAATCAAAAGCTATAATGAGCTAAAATCTCATTTTAATTTTGAAAATTTGCTTCAATTGGTAATTTGTATTAATTATTAAGTTCTGGTTCAAGTTTTAGTCTAGCAATGTGTAAAAATAATTTATCACTTTTTGCACGGTAATTAATTTAGTATCATTTATTTTTGTCAAATTTATAATTAGGCTTAATTACCATTTAGTAATAAAGCTAAATTACCGTCTACAAGTTTGTATTACTTAATTAGTCCAATTACGGATTAGATACGAGTATATTAAAGTGATAATCAACATTTTAATCAACTCGACCAAATTTTAACAGAGTACGAGTAAAAGTCTTAAACACTTTTTGAACAGTTAATTTTTTTTTGTTATTTTTAGGGAAAAGTTTACTAACTTTTGAATTAAGAATTTTCTAATCAAAATGTCAAGTTTTTCGTCATTTGTGTACTAAAACGACTAGCAAATCTGCATAGAAAAAAAACGGTTGCTTTTCACCTAAGTGAAAACAAACTTTTGAGTTGTACATTACGTTTTTTCAAAAATCATTATGTAAATTATTTTTTTACAGCCTTTACGGACAAAATATGTATATACTGGTATTTTAAGTTACTTTACAGACGACTTCAAAGAAATGTTTCTTCCACGTAATTTTTAAATCAAATTAGTATGTGATTGAATAATAATATTTGACCTGCATAATAATAAAGTAAGTGTAATATTATTGCATCTTTGGAATTTAAATTATTTTATAAAATAAAGGATAATTGGCATTTTAATAAAAGCAATTAATGATGTAGACTTTTTAACTTTGATAAAGTAATGAGTGCCTTGATTGTCAACATTATTAATTGCTAATTGAGTTAGTTATAGTGAACGATTTTAAGATTATTCACTAATAAAATAAAGGATAAACTAAGATGGAAAAACCCTGTATATGTTAAATTTCCAACATACTGTATATAAAATCCATTAAAGCGATAGGATCAAAATTTGCACAACACTTGGTGCATTTTAATCAAAATAAAATAAATCGGTATACTGTAACACCCGAAAATCCTTGGCCCATTTTTCGATATAAATGACTGAAATTCGACACCTACTAAGTTTCCAAATTTGCGATTTTATCGCTAGTAACAAAGCGCCCTGTTTCTGTCATACATTCCCATAAATCTTTTCAAAAATCAACTTTAAACTCCTGTGCTTACCCAATATAAAAAATAAATTGCGCATTGGCCTACCCATATTACTATGACCGACGATTTATGACCAGTTTGAGGTCAAAGCGATTAGTCAGTATTTTTGACAATTTTTATGTATACAAAAAGCAATAAATTATTGTCGTGGTCATAATCATCGAACGATTTGATGAAAAAGAAAGAGAAACGAAGGTAAAATTTCTTTAATCATCAACAATGTCATGTGACTGTGTGAAAAATAGCGGAAACAAACCACTTTCTTTTACAAAGAACTCATCAACAACCTTTTTCTACAAAGGTCAAGTTTAAAATAGTAAAAGGTTCGGAATAGTTTCACGCTTAATGTTCATCGCACGACAAAAATTGATAATTTATTGAGCTCGAGACGGATTAACAAGTTGCAAAATGATCATATGTGCAAGTAATTATTCTTGAAAAAAGAAATAAGCGACCTTAACATTTTTAAGTAGAAACACGTGACGGCCAAAATCGGTAAATTGGATTTAAGCTACTCGAAAAATTGGCAGTTAGACAAATGAAGACATGGCGCGGTAATGGGTTCTTATCTTTGCAAGTTTATCGCGATTTTTGATGGAAGTGAAACACGTGAGCTATTAAAATTAATGAGTTGCTCCATATGCAAAATGGGAGCTTTTTGAAATACTTTCAAACTCAGTGGCGTGCAAAAAATGATCCAAAATGACTGTTTTGTTGCTGTTCTTGGTGAATTAAAGTGCAAAAATACGCAAAATGCCTTTAAATAACACTGAATTTTTAGTATTCTGTGGTGGATTTACCTTTTTCAGACAATTTAAATTTTTTAGTGATAAAAAGGTATTAGTCGAGTTTGATCAGTATTTCGAAAATTGCTGTTGCACGTCGATAAAACATAACAAGAGTGACAAAATTACTTGACACTACGTCGAATATACAGTATGTCCCCGGATTGAGTTTACAAGAGGAAAAAAAATTTCATCTTTGATTTTACGCCTAAACTGCAAAAGAAAAAAAGTTTTTGCTTTACTTGAAACCAGCAAATCTGTAATTGAAACTTCATTATTCTAACTCATTAGAAAGAAAAGTTAATTTTTCTCTTGATTTTGGACTTGGAATAATTTTTCTCTGCTTTTTAAGTACTATAACATTGGCAGTTTTATTATTTTGACAAATGAGTTTATGCAAGTTAAATAACAAAAATGTTTGTGAAAAACATAATTTTTATAAATAGCAACTCAAAGAAACAGCTTTAAGGTAAAAACCAAAGTCATTTTTAACAAGAACTATCATTATTTAATTAATAAATTATTTGTCAAAGTGACATACAGGCTGTTCCGTCTAAACCCCACTTTAGAAGTATTGGGAGTTGGAATAATTGTATTTATTTGAAAATTGGTACATAGCCATAAACCATTAAGTCCTCCTAAATGAAAATATTTTCAAGATAGCGGCACTTCCGGTTATACCGGAAGTCGGTCTCAACTTTCTTATTTTAAATGGAAAGCTATATTTTTTACTACGTTTTTGGATTAATCGGGTTATTTTAAGGGAGTTTTCATCAGCTTTCCCTAAATTTAGCCGTTTTTGAAATATTTGGAGTTTTTCAAAAATTTTTGGATTTGCACCTTCCACTTTAAAAACCGGTAACTCTGCCATTTTTTAAGATTTTAAATTCGTTTTTTTGGCGTTTGAAAGAGAAAGCTTAGATCCTTTCTCTGATGTTTTCAAATTTTGAAAAAAAAATAACATATCCCAAAATTTTAAGGTTACTTTTGTAATAATTCAAATACTCATAACTCAATTTTTTCAAATGAAATACCCCAATTTTTATTTTACTAAATAGAAGAGAATTTAATTGTGCATTGATCTGTATTAACATTCCCTATACCTAAATTTAATAATTTTCAAGTTATGGACTTTTTTTTAATACTACAGAAAATTTATTACTAGCCATACCCGTTTTCACATAGTTTGCTATGGAAATCAAAAATGTCAAAATTGTTTCTCAGTAAACGTCGACAGTGACTTATTATTTGCCAAATAGTGCCAAAATATGGAGAATCAAAGTTATGCAAACTTAATTATTATTGATAGGTTCTACCATGCAATCATTATTTAAAGCTATCAAGTGAGAAAAGTTTATTTTTGTTTAATGAACGATATCATAATTTTGTTACACTCTCCATAAATACAAAATAAATTAGTTAAATCTAAGTTTGAGTAGCTTTGACTCTCCATATTTTGGCACTATTTGTCAAATAATAAGTCACTGTCGACAATTATTGAGAAACAATTTTGACATTTTTTATTTCCATAGCAAACTATACGAAAACGAATGTGGCTAATAACAGATTTTCGGCAGTCTCAACAAAAAGTCACCATAACTTAAAAATTATTAAATTTAGGTATAGGGAATGTTTATACAGATCGATGCACAATTAAATTCTCTT